CCCGAAAAAAAAAAGGCATGCATCAAGGTCCCATTGTGTTCAATGAATGTTGCAAGTTTATCTTGGGTGTACCGGTACATTGTAACTTAGATGTCACAGCTTTATATTTGGCAGATTTGCATACTTTCTATAAAGCTTTATCCAAATGACACTAAGGTTGTGTAATAAATCTTCCTGTGCTAGAATATGTAAGTCTTTGTCTACTTTCACTATTTATTGAACCAACCCAAAATTATTATTATAATATTAATTTCCATTTGTAATTTATTAATTTGTGCTAATTTTTACTACCATGAATTATCTAGCAGGTATCTAGTCTAGCAGGAAGAGTTTGAAGAGAAAAATTCTTACCTGGTCGAATGGATTCTTCATCCCCAAACAGGTGTAACCTTCTTTTGCCGAGACAAAAATGTTCCATGATGTGATAGATCTCAACAGGTTTTTCAAGACTTCCAGATTTGGGCTCTTCTGATATGATGACATCAAGGTCCACATTAGCATGAATGAAATCTCCATCAGTTGACCTACGAACTGTACCTTTAATTCCCATTAGACAGTGTTCCTAAGAGACATGAAATGAATAAAAGTACAGAACCAATAGAATACTGCGGAATACTTTATTTTCGCTTGGAAATAATTTTCGCAATTTTCGCTGAAGGAATGATTCAGTGAAAATAAAATACCTTCTCCCTGTATTTTACATTCAACTTAAAAATCAGTGAAAATAAATTCCATACAAAACACCAAAAAAGTCTATTCAGTGAAAATTAAATCCAGCTAAAATAAAGTATTTTACAGTACATTGTGTTGTAGCTTTGATTTGTATACTTGCTTTTTTACACTCGTTTATGTCAGCAAACTTGTCTCAGCAAAGTTCTTATGTATTACGACTGACTTAAGCATCCATGTTACTAATTTGTAAACCCAAGCTTTGACATAACACATAAAACATGGCATAATCAGCAACACTGTAGCTATATACATCTAATGCTAATGTCATACCTTTGTCCTTTGAAAGACAGCACCGGGTTCCAAATGTTTATTATGTCCAGGATTCTTAATATTAGTTTTTATCCAGCATATGTCCTCACATCGCCTGAAACCCCATTCCTTCAAGCACTGGAAGAAAAAGACATAAATGTCTTTGGATAAGAATTGCATTTCCTTCAATGTCATAAATAAGATGACAGAGAGTAATATAATATTTTCAAATATTTGTCACATGCTGCAATATATAGATAGTAGTTGGTAATCACAGTCCTTAAATGTATTCATATAAACAGATGTTTCAGACAAAGTATCATTTCCATGCTGTAATAATAAGTCTGCATGTGATATGCAGGGTTCTCCCCAGGACTTTATTGAGTAGGGGTTCCCAACTGTTAAATTTTGGATAAACAATACAAAGTTCTTTATTTATGGGTGTCAGCTTACCCTTCTGCCTTCATCTAAACCATCGGATGATCCACACCATAAAAATATAAATGATCTATGTGCTGCTACAGAGGGAATATCTAACTTGGAAATCTGAAATTTAAAAAAAAAAAAACATTGTTGAAACATTGAGGAACATAATCTGACAAATCGTGTGGAGTGACATCTGTAATCATGAGGAGTGACATCTGTAATCATGTGGAGTGATGTCTGTAATCATGTGGAGAGACATCTGTAATCATGTGGAGTGACATCTGTTCTGTGATCATGTGGAGTGACATCCGTAATTATGTGGAGTGACATCTGTTACCATGTGGAGTGACATCTGAAATCGTGTGGAGTGATGTCTGTAATTATGTGAAGTTACATCTGTTACCATGTGGAGTGACATCCATTATCATAAATGTGACTTCTGTAATCATGAATGTGACATCTGTTACCAAGTGGAGTGACACCTGTAATCATGAATGTGACATCTGCAATCATGTGGAGTGACATGTGTAATCATGTGGAGTGACAGCTCTAGTCATGAATGTGACATGTGTAATCATGTGGAGTGACATCTGTTATGTGGAGTGACATCTGTTATCATGAATGTGACATCTGTAATCATGTAGAGTGACATCCGTAATTATGTGGAGTGACATTTTTAATCATGTGGAGTGACATCTGTAATCATGAATGTGACATCCATAATTATGTAGAGTGACATCTGTTATCATGAATGTGACATCTGTAATCATGTGGAGTGACATCCATAATTATGTGGACTGACATCTGTAATATGACTTTTTTGTAAATATCCGGTGGAGCACACATACCTGCTAACATTAACCATGTTTCTAACCCAGTCTCATCTTGCAACTAAAGGAAATTACACCAGATACAATGTAGTTTGTGTGTTCAGTTTGTCAAATACACTAAAATTAAACCCAGGGATTATTTTTCTTTTACAGTAATTAAGTTGGCTGCATTAGACCCCTCAGTTTTGAGTGCCAATCTTTGATTTGATGACACCCTAAGATTCTGAAAATTTGCTCACAGCCAAATCTAAATGCTCAACGACCTAGATAACTCACCCCAATCATTACATTTGGCGGCTTAATTTAGGTCTAATTTGATATTCCTCTAATGGTGTCTCCACTTACCTCCTCCCAATTCCAGAACTTCTGATTGGCTATGACACCAGGTCTAATTTGATATTTCTCTAATGTCGGCACAACTTACCTCTTCCCAATTCCAGAACTTCTGATTGGACATGACGCCTGGTCTAATTTGATATTCCTCCAATGGCGGCTCAACAAGCACAACATCAAATTTGCATTCCAAATCTCTCAAATCGAATGTTTCTAGATCACATGCCAGGTACCTGAAAATAAGTAATAATGGTACAGCTACATTATCTGACAAAATAAAAATAGGCCAATGGCCTGTTGCTCAACGGCTATTGTACAAAAGATTAGTGCTGTATATGACAAATACCCCAAAAGGCAGTGAGTGAGACAACAAAACATAATGCTAAAAGTGGAATTTTTTACAAAAATAACAGAAATATTCAATAAAATTAGAATCAAAGAGAGCTTAAAAAGAACTCTAGCGTGTTGAGAGAATAACATAACAAGATATTTGCAATTATCTGAATTCGTAATACATGTATAGACCAAGTTTTGTTGAAATATGTTGAATGGTTTTTGAAATAGCACCCAAATAGCTTGAAGTTCACTAGCTATAAATTTCCACCAAAAACTAAATATATCTGGAAACTGCCCCAACACATCTATGCACCAAGTTTTATTAAAACATATTAAATGGTTCTCAAGATATCACAAAAATAGCCTATTGGTATGTAAATTAGGCAATTTGCATAATTTTCCACCCAAATCAATCATGTCTATACACATTTAAATATGTTGAGTGGTTATGTTTTCATTACAATCACAATAGACCAATCAAAGAAAATTTAGAACTCCCACGTGCTATGTGAGAATGAGAAACAGTTGACAGAACAAATGGGAAACATTACATCACTCCCTGTGAGCATATAATTTCAATATGGCATCATTGTATAATCTTCCCAAGTTTTGTTCATTTTCCGACAACTGTAGTGCATTAAGAAGAAGGTAATAATCAAAGAAAGCTTAGAAAGAACTCCCGTGTGCTGAGAGTATTGAAGACACATTAAAAATTAATTCAAAATTACTTGTACATGAGATATTGATGGAAAAGCTGAAAACTAATTATGTAAATCAGGTAACTAATATGAACAGAACAGAACAGAACACAAAAATTATGAATTATTATGCTAATTAGAGAATTAATATTAATCAAAATTAATCAGGCCTGTCTATTGTCCTAGAGCATTTATGTACCAAATTTTATTCAAATGTGATGATCAGTAATTGAGATATCAGTGTTAATTAATTATGTTAATTAGGTGATTAATAAGCATAAATATTTACCAAAAACTAATTGGGTTGTCGCAGTTGCAGTGTCCTATGACATCTATGTATAAAGTGTCATTGAAATGTGATGATTACTGCTTGAAATATCAAAAGCTGAAAATAATTAATTATGCAAATTAGCTAATTAATATATACTGATATTACCCTAAAAACTATCAGGTCTGTGCAGTGTCCTATGACATCTATGTACCAAATTTCATTGAAATGTGATTACTACTTGAAATATCAAAAGCTGAAAATTAATTAATTATGCAAATTAGGCAATTAATATGTACTCATATTACCCTAAAAACTATGAGGTCTTTGCAGTGTCCTATGACATCTATGTACCAAATTTCATTGAAATGTGATGATTACTACTTGAAATATCAAAAGCTGAAAATTAATTAATTATGCTAATTAGGTAATTAATATGTACTCATATTACCCTAAAAACTATCAGGTCTGTGCAGTGTCCTATGACATCTATGTACCAAGTGTCATTGAAATGTGATGATTACTACTTGAAATATCAAAAGCTGAAAATTAATTAATTAGGCAAATTAGCTAATTAATATATACTGATATTACCCTAAAAACTATCAGGTTTGTGCAGTGTCCTATGACATCTATGTACCAAGTTTTATTGAAATGTGATGATTAGTACTTGAGATATCAGTGGAAAAGCCGAAAATTGATTAATCATTATGCAAATTAGGTAATTAATATTACACAGCTTTTTACCCAAAACTAATCAAATCTGCGCATTAGTTTGGAGCATCTGTGTGCCAAGTTTCATCAAAATCCAATGAGTGGTTCTTTACATATCAGTGGAACAGTCATGGAACAGCTAAAAATCAGCTAATTATTATGCAAATTAGGTAATTAATATGCATGAATTTTTACCAAAACCTAATCAAATCTGTGCATTAGCCCAAAGCATCTATGCACCAAGTTTCATCAAAAACTGATGTATGGTTCTTGAAATATCAGTGGAACAGCGGACACACACACAGACACCCCCCCCCCCCCCCCCACACACACACACAGACAGACAGACAGACACACTAACTGCAAAAACTCCCTTTTTGTGCTTCGCACACGGGAGTCAAAAATG